GTGGAAATCTTGCCTTGGAATGTACAAGATGCGGTGTTGTAAGGGGAACCAATGATGCCATGTCGCAGAATTTGTGGCGATGCTGACCTTTGATTTCAACGTGGAGCGCCGTTAGGCCCGATACGGAACCGATCCCAAACAGATTCTATAAAATTCACAATTCAAAAATGTGTACGATCAAAATATTTGGGTGCAAAGAATAAACTAACGCATATTTTCAATATACATCTTAATTCAAGGAACTGGTGTAACAGACTACCGCGTCAGCGTTGCTAGGAAATGCGATGATAGGCTTCGCTATTCAAGCGGCATCTATGTCTTCCTAATATACAGGGTGGCGCATCGAAAACGAAACAGACGCATTTACTGGCAGCTCAGTTTTTTTTTTTTGGAAAAACACTCAGACCCGTCGATTTTGTTTTCGAGGGGGACAAGATTGGCAAAAAATCACGTTAACACGGGCAGCCCCCTGGGCGGGGGTGACACCAACTCTAAAATCTTAAATGAAAAGGGGGGGTCGAGTGATATGTTATTTTAAAGGTCTTTCAATTCCCTTTATAACGATGTAAAATACATGAGCTTCAGTTCAGTAGTTATGAAGATTTATTGATTTAAAGCTTAAAGTAGACTTTAAAGGTAAATCAGATTAGTTTGTACTACTTTCAGAAGAAATTTGACTAAAAGAATTTACTTAATAAGTAAATGCTTTTCTTCACTACGCCCATGGTTTGTTTGTGATTTTGTTGTTGAAAATAGCTATTGGAGCGTTTTTTGTGGAAAAAAGTTATTTCTTGAAGAAATTAAATGTTTGGGCTGATATTTTTGGCGATCATTTAGTTGGTCCTTTTTTCTTACCTGGTAATTTGACCGGTGAAATGTATTTGGAATTACTGGAAGACGTCATAGATCCTGCATTAACAGCCATAATTGAAAATCAGAATGATCGGCGGTAGATTGCGAATAGGTTGATGTTCCAACAGGATGGTGCCCCACCACATTACGCATTACGTGTTCGACAATATTTAGATCAGACGTTTCCAGATCGATGGATTGGTAGAAGAGGTGCCATTGAATGGCCCCCAAGATCGCCAGGTTTATCACCTTTGGATTTCTTTATGTGGGGTCATTTAAAAAGCAAAATCTATGCTCCTCAGCCAACATCTTTGGAAGACGCTTTTTCAAAAAAAAAACTGCGCTGCCAGTAAATGCGTCTGTTTCGTTTTCGATGCGCCACCCTGTATGTGTCTATACACACTTCTTTATCGTACACATTGAACTCAAGCCGTCTGACAGATTTGGTTATCAATGTATATCTATAGTATAGTATCTGAATGTGTGATCCGTAGTAAGAAACAATGTAGTGTATTTAGAGGACCATCGAATTTTTACATCCTTGGCTTTGCCTCAAAATCAATTTGGAGTGGGATCCGGCCATCAGTCATTATTGCTACCTGAACAACAAAAAAGATGACGGTCGCAGAGGATTTTGGGAGCCGAACCGCCGTCGAAATCCATGGACGGTTAATGTGCACGGGTCATTCAGTTGTTTAGGAAAATTTTGGGATAATTGCGTAATGATAGTCATTAGGCGAGGTGCAGAGGCCTTCAGTGCATCTTACCAAGCACACCTAAATTGACGGTGAATACCGTTTTCGACGAACACCAACCATTTTAAACGCTGCTGGTGCCCGAATTTATAATAAAAATGCAATAATAATTTGCAGGCCTTCTCTTGTCTAAAGATTCAAAAAACGCTTGACTTCCTGACTTGCCCATTTTGCACGCTTTTTTGTTACCATGAAGCCCTGTGCATGGTATCTGCAGGTTGAAACGTAGCCTAAGTTTGGAATAAAAATGCGATAATATTTTCCAGGTCTATTCTGGTCTACGATATGACTACATAATACTGTTCCTGAAGAGGGTGTTGTGCTAAATAAGTAAAACAAAAATATACTTATTTCCTAGCTTCAACATGATATTGGGTTCAGAATCTATGCACCCGATGTATAATAAAAAACTGTGAAGTTTGATGGGCCGACATTGTTTATACAGGTTGTCCCGAAAAAAGTGTGCAATATTCTACCAGCGGTTTCTAGAGCTTAAAATAGGAAGAAAAGTTTAAATAAACATAGGTCGACAAGCGTCCCCTAAGGGCGTTACGGCCTTTTAAAGGGGCTCCCCTAAAGATGTTTTTCCTTAATATTTCCGAAACGTGTTGAGATAAAGACATAAAATTTGGTATTCTAGCCTAGTTTTTTATGCTGGATTTAAAAATATTAACAATATTAGACAGTTTTGTTTGCAAGCGTGTGTAACAGGGACGGACTCAGGTTATTTTAGCCCCAAAACTTTTGTGTGATTCTATTTTTGAAATTCAATTTTAGAATCTGAAAAATTTGGGGTTTCTACATAAAAAAGGTACTCTTGTTGAATATCGAGAAATTGTGCCATTTTTGAATAAAATCAAACTAAAGAATTTGTCACATGATAGTAAATGTACTGCGAATTTAAATGAATTGTTGATTATACATAGCCATGACTGCAAACAAAAGGTTGTTTTGATATGTTATGACTTTGACGTTAAGCTGACATTGTTAGCAGTGTAAAATTACTAGAATAAAATCAAAATTTTAATAAATCGATTTAAAATGCCAAGATTTACAGACAGAGAACTGACTGACATGCATTTTGTGTACGGGTTTTGCAATGGCAGTTCATTGGCAGCCGTAAGAGAATATCAAAGAAGATTTCCCAATCGCATAGTACCTGGACGTCGAATGTTTACTGATGTTCACCGAAATTTATCAAACCATGGAAGTTTTCAGCGCATGCAGGGCTCAGGAAGGCCACTGGGAAATTATCGAATGGATATTGCTTTAAATATGTTTGAAAATAATCTGCAAATAAGCATACGAAATGTTTCAGAAAATATGGATATACCTCGATCAGTAGTAAGAAAAATGTATGAATACCTATTTGATAGTTATCCTAAAAATAATAATTTTAGATAGGAAGAATGACAAGAATGCACGGATTACATCCTTATCATTTTAAACGGGTGCAGAATTTAACGGAGGCAGATTATTTACCATCGAGTTTTGCCAGTGGATATTAGCAAATGAAAACACTATTCCTAGAATATTTATTAGGAATGGTGCTTTAAATTTCCATAACATGCATCACTGGTCAGATGAAAATCCAAAAGTTGTTCGCCGTACCAAATTCCAACATAGATTTTCATTGAACTTATGGGCAGGAGTAATTGGGGATCAAGTAATTGGGCCTATTGTACTTCCCAATCGTCTTAATTCAGAGGTGTATCTGAACTTTCTTCAGAATGAGCTCGTGGATATAATACCATTGGATGTGCGCCAGCAGTTTCAAGAAAATATGTTTTTTCAACATGATGGCACCCTTGCACATTTTGAACGCAATATTCGAAATTGGCTGAATGTCAATTTTCCAGACAGGTAGTTAGGCCGAGGAGGTCCTATAGCATGGCCGCCACGTTCCCCTGACCTAAATCCATTGGATTTCTATTTTTGGGGGTCATTAAAAGACCTAGTTTACTCGACTGGAGTAAATACTCAAGAAGATTTACTTCAAAGAATCCATCAGGCTGCAAATGAAATAAGAAGAAAAAGGTTTTCCACTTTTCGGGCTACGCAATCATTAGTTCGTCGAGCGAAACTCTGGATCAAACAAAATGGGAATTGATTTGAACACTTATTGTAAAGCTAGTTTTAAGTATATCCAACTGTATGTCTTCTTTTCTAAACAAATTTCAATTTCGTTCGTAGAAAAAATGTATTTCTTTTGTTTTTGCCTAAATGTTAGCTATGTTGCAATAGAAATATGTATTTATGTAAAATTTACCAAATATTAAATTAGTTTTTTCGTTGCCATGGCTACTTTTTCAACAATTCATTTAAATTTGCAGTACATTTCCTATCATGTGACAAATTCTTTAGTGTGATTTTATTCAAAAATGGTACAATTTATCGATATTCAATAACAGTATCTTTTTTATGTAGAAAACCCTAAATTTTCAAATTATAAAATTGAATTTCAAAAAATGAATCATACAAAAATTTTGAGGCTAAAATAACCTGAGTCCGTCCCTGTTACATACGCTTCCAAACAAAACTATCTAAAATTGTTAATATTTTTAAATCCAGCATAAAAAACTAGGCTAGAATACCAAATTTTATGTCTTTATCTCGACACGTTCGGAAATATTAAGGAAAAACCATCTTCAGGGGAGCCCCTTTAAAAGACCGTAGCGCCCTTAGGGGACGTTTGTCGTCCGATGTTTATATGAGCTTTTCTTCCTATCTTAAGCTTTAGAAACCGCTGGTAGAATATTGCACACTTTTTTCGGGACACCCTGTATATTTGATAATAGTTATTACAATTATATATGGAGGTGAGTATTTAAATATTTTCAACATGTCCTCAAACTTTAGGGTTACAGGCGGAGTACGTATTATCGAACGTATTACCTAATTTTAGGTAACGATTTCTGTGATATTATTCAACAATAAAATACAGGGTGATTCACAAGTCGTGGCCAAAAATGAAACATCATACTCAGGACCGCATTTTAAGCTGGGTTTTTTATGTAACTAGTTTTAAAGCCATATTAAAAGTTTTAAAATAGTGAGATTACCTTAATCTTCCATAAAATTCATTTTTGTTCTACGTTTGAGAGAAACTACGAAAAAATACATTTTTGAAACTTAAATTGCTAAAAGCTCAAAAACCTTATAAGTTTGTTACTATGTATCCATAGTATCTGAAACGACTCTACAACTGATCCGTCTTTTTTTATCACTTCGCTATATTAGCACCTTCAACATAACTAAGCGCCTAACGCATTCCTTACGTTGAGGCATCCTTTTAAGAACGCCTTAACAGTCGCCGTACTTGGAAAGCGTCAGGAACGTTGTCAAATGTCTAGTTTCAAAGAAAGCGACCTTTTTCAAGCTCAGTCTGTCTACCTTGCATACGTAGTTTCTTAATTTCAATGTATCCTTGTTTCACTATCGATCTTAAGGAACGCGTGGACCTATTCATTTCTGTGACGACTGCAAAGAAAATAAGTATATTTTGTATCACGCATCAATAACAAAATCAATAATTGTATGCTTGAATATGTTTTCTAAAAAAATAATAAAAAATTATAAGCCCACTGATTCCATCAAGAAAGTAGTGAATTAAGGATGCCTTAAACGAGAGGAACGACTATGCCAGGTAAGGATGCCTCAGATAGAAAAAGGCCGTCTGTTTTCTATTAAGTAATGAAGTGTCTAGAGTCCTGTCTTCTTCTTGAGATACCGTCTCCATTCAGTGGAGGTTGTTGAACATTTTAGCATCTTTTTCGCGATCTTAGGCGGAATGAATTAATTCATGCAAATCAAGAATATTTCTGCTATATCAGCTGTAGGAGGTTATACTTTTCGTACAGGAATACGTATTCCAAAAAAGCTGCTTTCTACGTATGATGGTCATAATTCCCATACGTCGTAGCACTTCTTCGTTAGAAGACCCACATTTCGAATATCTTGAAGGAGTGTCTCAGAGATGTCGCTGTCGATATGATGTACACAAGCATATAGGTGGCTACAGAGCCATCTATGAGACACCAGCCTTGTCAACGTATATATAGTAAATAGAGAAACAGTTGTCACAATTGCTCATAGATAACGCTGCAGTATCTCATTTTATCTCGGATATCTTTTTGGACGCGGGAATATAGCATTAAGTTGGTTAGAGTTACGTTAACCAATATTTTTAATTTCCGCGATTTTTATCCATAAAACAGGGTAAAGACTTCGAATTGAAGATTCAGGGTTGTGTTGCTTAAAAAGTTACCCATTCTCGTGAATAATAACGTTTATTGTCAAAAGAAAAAAATCGTAGTAGTAGATAAAAGAAAATGACATACAATAAACGAATGAATCCAAAAAAAATTCGCAGAATCGGGACGTAGACTCAATCCGGATAGAGGCAGTATTAGTAAAGTAATAAAATGCAATCATTCAGGAGATAAGAGTTGAGGTAAGTTTGATAATAATAGTTACTTTTGATATCAATCGCTTGATGAATCTTGAGTCTAGGCTAGGTCAAAATCCACAGTCTTAAGGCGGTATCGTCAGTCGTTCCTACAATTGTAGGATGCCTTTATGGCCTCCTTGATTGTCATAGTCTTTTCTCTCCTTCAAAAGTTTTTAGATTGCACCTGTTCCGTGTCAGCGACAGCGCTCTCCTATTGTGAAGTTATGTTTTCTTTTTGAATTGTAGGAAATTTGAGGCTGGTAGAACAAGGTATAAATCAAAAGCATTGACAGTTTGATGCAAATAGATATTTGTGACATAACCTTAAAAGAGAAAAGTAGAAAACTATATACGGTCCTTAGATGCTTTTTTATAGCGTTTGTACTTCTAATCTCTTTTATCTAAGAGGAAATCAAGTTATATTTTTTTGGTCCTAGGAAGGAGAAACTCTTCCGACCTATGATTTTGTTAGGCTTCGGAATTCTTTGGATCTGGTGTGGTGGTCATGCGAGACGAAATTTAATAGATGCTTATGTTTTGTAAAATACGTGAACACGATCTCAAGATAGAGTTGCCTACAATCACAGATCTTGATACCTTTTATATATCTCGGTTGGATAGGTGATAGTTTTGCGAAACATGATTTTAAGAATCCATTAATGAGTTATTTCTAGTTTTCTGTAGTATTTATTCAACACCGGTACCCATTGCAAAATTCCATAAGTTAACAAGGGGTGTACTAACGTTTTGCATATGGTGCATAATTCTCTAGCAGAACGAATTTCCCTAAAAAAAATAAATTTTAGATGGCTATATATGATGAACCATAGATATTTTATATGATTTGCTGGCTTTAGGACTACATACTACTTCATCTTTAGGTAGTAATACGAAATGTATTAGGTAGGAATGTGGAACAGTTCCTATCATCGCATGAAGAAATCAGATATAAGGTTTTTCCATAAATATTTTATTATTGAAGAAGCTTCTGGTACCTTAGAAATTCTCTTTAATGATATTTGTAATACCGATGTTGCTTATTCTATACGTGTTCGTACCATTCTATTTGTGAGGGAACTCCCTATATGATGATAGTTAGGAAAATAATTATAAAATATGAAATTCATAAAGCCATGAGCAAACACTTATTCATTTTCAATCACTCAAAAGAAAAACGTTTAGATAAATCTCACGACATAACTAACAAAACAACACACAATCAACAAATTTCAATTTTCTCAACGTGAACGTAAATCTCGACCTCTACACCCGCTACTAGTAATTATTTCCAGTTTTTCAACCTCTGCATGTCTAGCCCGCTGCTCCCAACCGTAACAACCAAATCAAACATTATTAAACCCACCAACCGAATCACACTTCAAAAACGCAATTTAAATCGAATTATGATATAAGCTCGAAACGCGTTACAATTTTTTCAAAAGACACGCCGAGCGCGCGTACCACTATTATATGCATACCTTCCTCCGGCGTATTTAATTTTGTGGGCAGCCATTGTTCTTCCGTACTCTCGATAGAGAGAACGACAGAGTCGGATTTAAAATATAATCTTCAATTTATGCCAATAGCTCCTGAAATACCGCAAGCTCTTTTTCCGTGTGCCGTATCCCCGAGGACAAGGTCACCGTTAGTTCGGGAATGCACTATTGCCCTTCGGAATTTAGGCAAATTTAAAGAAGTGACCTTCCTTGCTTTGCGTCCCGGAACACAGCGAAGTAATGGGCAACGAGAAAGCAGATCGCCTGGCTAGGCTGGGGACCAGAAGCAGTTGCATCGGTCCCGAGCCTAGGCTGGGCATAAAGCAGGAGCCAGGTCAACACGGCAATGATCAATGGGTGTGTAGGAACATGGAAAGAGCGTGAAGAGAGAAGTGACTGTAGAAGTCCAAGTAACCCAGAAACACGTCGGACGCGCTGGGTGCTGGACAAGGGAGAAAATGACTCACCCTTTTGGTGGCGGTTCTCACCGGACGCTGCAGACTGAACCGGCACTTATTCCTTTAAGATGTAAAGGAACCCAACATACTCCAAGTGCTGGGAGGAGGACGAAAGAGCGTACCACTTTCTACGCTATTGCACCGTATACTGCGGTCTAAGGGCTGAGATATTCTGGGCCACGGAATTTGTTGGTGAAGTTGCTTTTTCAGCGGAAACATCCTGTCCTTCATTAGGAGGTCAGAGGAATATGTTAGTGATATCCTTATATTCTAAGACTGTCTACAAAACATCATTGAGCTACAATGCTATTAAATTATAAATATAATATATAATATAATGATCTGTTACGTTCCAAAACTATACATTATTTAATCTTAAAAAGAGGCTTAAACTAAAACTACAAGTTGAGGTCTGATGATGAATACAAAATGATAGAAATATGGACTATTCTTGTAATTGTTGTGTTGTTAATTATTTAGTAATTATTGAGCATTATGGATACATTTTTTTTGTTGGCGGAATGTTTTATTATATATATATATATATATATATATATATATATATATACATTTTTTTTGTTAAGGTTAAGGTTAAGTTGAAAAACGCTAATCTTAGCGACACTTCGCCTTTCTTGTACTTTTACTTAGGTACGAAATAAAGCCCATTTATTATTATTATTATTATTACTATTATTATTAAGTAGAGAGCTGGTACATTCAGCAAAAAGGACACCTCCCCACCACTTCTGCTCCATCATGTTGCGGTGTTCTAGGCATGACAGAAGGACTCGTCAGGTATCCGTCTAATTCTGTATAGCTAGAACTGGCCGGTACGACCGGTACTTTGTTCATAAAGTTTTGAAACAATCCATCTGAAAAAGTTTTTCCAGATCTTCCAATCTTAGGCCAGAGGCGAACATAACAGGAAGGGGCTGGCTCCTCTCAGAATTGTACAAAAGTACTGATCACGTTCTGGGCGAATTTGACAGCTTTTAGGTAAACTAATCTTGTCGTGACTCACGTAGATGTAGCTTTCGTAAGGGGAGAGAAATGTTTTGAAAGCGCCTGTTCTGTAGGTTATTCATTCATCCCATAATTTTCGTAGGTAATCCACATGTTTCAAGTTTGTGAATTGGAATTCCTTCCAATTCAAAAGTATTGACCTTCGGTTTGTATATTGCAACGGTAATAAACAATTTGTAGGGCTGCAAATGTAGGGTTATTTGTCTATAAAATTAACAGAAACACGGTGTCAAGGCGATCTCGAGCATTTTTAACTTGTTTCCAAAGCTTTAATAGTGCAGTCATTTCGGAGAGATATACATATACATATTTGCTTTTAACCTGTTTATGCCATACACATATTCATGTATACTTTTCCTGTAGCGCAATACTTCTTTTCAATGCATGGGTTAAGTATGAATATGTTCGTCTGCTTTTTTTTACTTTTATACTTTATCATAGTTAGTTAGTAGTAAGTACTTGTCCCAATATATCCAGGTCGCTGCTTTAATTTTGCCATTTTGGTATTCTACCATTCACAACCCCGATTTGTAACTATTTTTAATATTACATTTATTAGCATTTTATTTTTACCTTACTAATTTAAATATTTTTGCTTTTAATTTGTTTATGCTGAAGCTCAATACTTCTTTTTGATGTGTAATCGGATTTCACACCTTTATCATGCAGCCAGCGGCGAAAACAGTTACTTCTTACTTGCTTATGGTTTCCCGCCAGTGGATCTAATGGGTGATTTTTTTGCTAGTATCTTTTTGGCAACACTGTTTTTGACAGATGACGCGTGAATCGTGTCTTGTGTCATCGTCAAACTTGTTCAGTTTGGTCTATAATTTAACCATGAATCGACTTACGAACGAACAACGTTTGCAAATTATTGAATTTTACTATCAAAATTCATGCTCGGTTAAGAGAGTGCCTACCGAGGGAGCTATTCGGAAGCTTGTGACTGAATTTCGAACCCAGTTTACATTATTGGACATTAAACCACCAACACGCAGACGTAGAGTGAGGACTGAAGAAAATATTGCTGCTGTATCCGCCAGTGTTAGTGATGACCGTGAAATGTCGATTCGCCGCTGTTCGCAGCAATTGGGCCTCTGTTACTACACTACGTGGAAAATTTTGCGACAGGATTTGGGTGTAAAACCTTATAAGATACAGCTGGTGCAAGAATTGAAGCCACACGACCTCCCACAACGTTTCCAATTTGGTGAATGGGCGCTGGCAAAGCTGGAGGAAGATCCACATTTTTATCGAAAAATTGTGTTCAGCGACGAAGCTCATTTCTGGTTGAATGGGTACGTTAACAAGCAAAATTGCCGCATCTGGAGTGAAGACCAGCCAGAAGCATTGCAAGAGCTACCAACGCATCCCGAAAAAATCACTGTTTGGTGTGGATTATGGGCCAGTGGCATCATCGGGCCGTACTTCTTCAAAGACGACAATGGCCGGAACGTAACTGTGAATGGCGAGCGCTACCGTGCGATGATAGCAAACTTTTTTTTGCTCATAATGGAAGAGTTGTACTTGGCTGACATGTGGTTTCAACAAGACGGTGCCACATGCCACATCGCACACGAAACAATCCCCCTATTGAGAGGCGAGTTCGGTGAACAGTTTATCTCACGTTTGGGGCCCGTCAATTGGCCGCCTAGATCGTGTGATTTAACGCCGTTAGACTATTTCTTGTGGAGCCATGTTAAGGCTAATGTCTACAGGGATAAACCAGCAACGATTGAGGTACTGGAAGTCAATATTGAAGCATTTATTCATGAGATACCGGCCGATATGGTTGGAGAGAGTGTGCCAAAATTGGACCTTGCGCATGGGCCATCTAAAGCGGAGCCGGGGTCAACATTTACATGAAATAATCTTTAAACATTAAATTATATCGACCGTTCTATCGACTCAAATAGAGATTTGATCATTTTTTCAAATTTTTGTGTTTTTTTTAAATCAAATCCTATACCTCTTAAAAAATCACCCGTTATAAGCACCAGTTTATCAATGCGTGAGTGCATAGCTGCGTAATGTGGTACCAAATCTGTTGATAAACTATATAACTGCGCATATTCAAATTACAAAAATAGGATGACCACAAACATTTTTTTTTACTTTCGTGACTTCGTTACTTTTATTTGTCATTGTTATGCCCGTTCGTGTAAGAATATTTGGAATTGTACGTTGCAAATAAATTATTATTATTAATTACTAATATTTATAATAAATAACTTCGGATTTTAAAAGTCCTTGTATATTTTCCTAGTGAAACACATTTTTAAGTGAAAAATTAATGAAAAATATAATTAAACTGCCCATTCATCGAAACAGCAAACAGAAAAGAGAAGGTTAATTTTTTTACATTACTGTGATTTACGATTTCGTACACATCACAATAATCAAAGTCGGACCTGCTACCCTATGCTCTTTGGACCTGTTCTTCCCCCCTTCCTCCTCTCTCGAGTCCTATGGACCCCGCCCCAACCCCACTATCTTAGGCAGTTCAAATCGAACCAACTTAGACACTCACGTGCGGAGAAGGTTCGATGAAGCTCATATCGTAACCTTGTTAATCCGATTTTTACTAGAACTGGAAAAAGCCTTCTCAGGTATATTGTTCCAAAATCCTAGGGACAGAGTAGCAGTCGTATCGGCCAGTTCTGAGGCGGGTTTGTCTGGCAGGCATATCGCGCGGCGGCATCATGCAGGAGAGCTCTGAGGAGCAAATCCCTTTAACATAGCGGTATAAGAGAGCTACATCGCCGTCGGCCCCCGGTGCGAAAGGGTCCCGAGACTGTCCAATCGAGAA